AAATAATCACAATACTAAAAGCAATGTTGCTCACGGTAAAATAAAGCAAGAGGGGATTTCCTATTAATTCACAAAGGCTAACACTTGACAGGAATAATATAGATAATTTTCCGTACTGAAATTAATCCGAAACCCTTCTCGATAAATTTCCCAAAGAAATCTTGTAAAAATACGTGCTTTCTTGGCTACTTTTTGTGTTTCATGCGTCAAAATGACGAAGAGTAATAAAAAAGTGTGTTGCTTAAGAAAATTATAAGGAATAGGGATATTGACTGTTATAATATTTCAATGCATATTTCATAGAAATCACTCTATGCAATAAATGGAAAGTTAGCATCACTGTTAATACGATTTCATCCATAAACCCATAAATTATACATAACATCATAAATCTTGTGATTAAATGTAATTAGTAGTTACCATCCCCTACTTATATAATTGTAACGTATACATGTACAATACAGTTATGCAATTTTTATCTTATTAATTGCATCAACTGTTTATCACTGCGTGACCGTAAGAGATGACTAAATAGGTTTAAATTATTTCAGTCTATGCACGTCTTAGCTCCGGCAGGTTGGTTGGTTTTTATCCCTGGTGTTGCATTGGTTGTAACAACCGAGTTTAGCCAAAATCATCTTTCCTGTTTCAGCGCCATATGACCGAAACTTTATTGTTGCGCCGTAAAGCAAAGTAGACAAACAACCCTACTTTTAAATTCAAGTTATTGATCAATATTTTGAGACAGAATAATGCTGATATATAACATGTTAAAGTTTAATTATACGACATTGTAATGAACGTCAACGGCAGGTAAATGTTGTTTATTATGTTTCCATCGACGCTTAATCAATATGCTCACAGGATAATGTTGAAAAATCAATGCCTCAAGCATTTATAATATTTTTTCAACGTTTTCTAAGTAAGCAATGTCTAAGACAAAGTTTTTAAGAATAATCATTAGGTACACAAAAAGTCTAAAGAAAGGATAATCTGATAATTATGTTAATGTATAAAATAAGGAAACATTTGTTGAACAATAAGTATAAAATACGACAAGTAAATCTCATATTTTCATACAATTATGCTAATGTAAAAAATAAAGGAACATTTATTAACTATAAAATACGACAAGTTATTTTCATACTGAATATTAAGGCTATGGTGTTATTCCATTTAGATCAATACTGCTTGATGTAACTATTAAATGATATACATCGGTAAGTCTTCATTTCATTACATTTGAAGGGGGTCATCTGGTGTTTTGTTATTGTAACGATAGGCAAGTTGGTCGATCAGTCATCCGGTCTGTTACAGAATAACAGTATTCATATCAGGATATTAATCTCTAAAAAAATTGACTACACATAGTTAATGTTTAAAATATATGTTGCATTATGTTGAAAACTCACTTCTATTAATAACGTGCATAAAAAGGTCATATTTGGTCGTGCAACTCTTATCAGACTCAGAGACTTGTATGAGTCATCATGGTGAGCTTTAGTTTGATTCTACAAACGTGCATCACTTTCATTTGTCATTTAACTAATAAAAAGAATAAAAGAAACGTCCGATTAATTTGTGAAGATGCTTTTCCTTACAAAGTATGCATATTCAAAAAACAATGCTCATATAACAGAGCGATGTTTATTATTGTTCCATAAACATCTTATAAAGAATATTAAAAATATAATTATCAATGGTTTTATTTGACTATTGTCATGAAATATTCAGTGATATTGCTGTCCATCTATCCTTGGATAAGCATCCACAAACAGATCTCTTCGTGACCTAGATCTCTGCGTAAACTACTCAAAATGTGTTGATTTTGTAACTATATTTCTGAAAACGCAACATATAACTCAAACGGATTCTCTTTCTGTAGACATGAATTTATATCCGATTTGAATATTTATCTTTGAATATTTCAACACCATTGTGTTGTCCCACACGTCGTTAAACGTCAATTACTTTGAAAGAACAAATGATTTTATCCTTTAAATAATGGGTTTTTCCCGTTGAGACATTTTTTGTAATGAAGAGTTAAAATTCTATAGTTTCTGGTGAAATTACTTCAAGAAAATTATGCAAGGTATTACTCTCTTCTTGAGGTCGCAGAATAATATAAAAACAAGAACCTTTCAAAGAAAACAGCGAATAAAGTTTACATAAAAACTCGAGCCATGTTATGTTTGTTTTATTTTCTTTCAAAATATAAACGATTTTATCAAGAAATACTTTTTTCACATAATTTACGGGCAATAAATGACCTACTGATTACAATAGAAGTAAGCCACACAACAACAACTAAATAATACATCTGACATTTGCTTATAGGAAATGTTTCGTAATATATTAAAAACGGCATGAAATTGACTAGAGATCACCGGTTCCCATGTGTTAATGTTTTTTTCATAGATTCAAAGTAGAAAAAATGTCAAACAGTGAATTAATTTGGATAAGGAAATCTTAATTTCACCGCTCAATACTTAAAAAAAACACTAATAACACAATTCTGAAATTGCAATTGCCACTCAGACTGGGCTAAGAATACCACAAAAAAATTTTCAATATTTCGGAATTATCTGTTTCATAGCTTTCTATTTTAAGTGTCCTAGCTGTCATATGTAAGAAATTCAAATATGTTGGACCTTAGTGGGGTACCTTAAAAACACATCATGATATGCTACAATCATTTCTTTTTATTTACACAATCTAAGCTTTTATTTATCTATTCAATCTTGTCATGTCTGGAGGCCTTACAATTATTTTAAGACAGTACTAAAATTCCATCACTTAGAAAAATATCTCCTAAATGAAATAGACAGTGTCCGTCATATACCGTTATTTTGAATTCAACAGAGAGAGCGATCAGCCACACTGTAGAGCTCACGTTACTCTCAGATGTACAACATTGTTGAATAAGCATCGACTTAATGTCATTTAGAAGAAAATATTATATGAAATTATGTTTCATGACTTTTTATCACATCTATTTGATGTAGGTTCGTTTTCAAATGACTCGGAGATGGCTGTTTTAAAAACATTATTCCTGACAGACTAAACAATCGGGGTAAGTTCCAGACCAAAAAGAGTCATTAAAGGGATTGAAAACTGATCTTCTACAGAATGATCCGAACATGCATGGTCTGTTTTTGCAATACAAGTCATATTTGATCATTTAATCACTTTGCGTAAAATTTGGAGTTCATATTAGGTTTTGTTAGAATTGTGAATTCTTAACTTAATTTGAGTCGTTATACCAGTTGATTAGCAACAGTTAATATCTTTATTATTGGTAATTTCTTACTTTATCTTATCTATACGGGCTACCTTTTATTCATTTTATTCTGCGTGCAAAAAAGGTATCCTATTTTGTTCAACTTTTGCATGTACATGTCATTTCGGATTTGCAAGGAAATGACCATTTCCTTAACCTGTAGGAAATATGTTTCCTTTAAACGGCTAATGAAGATTTTTCGTCCACAATTATGAGAATGAAAATAAATATGATGGCTTTAATGGATTTATGGTTCAGATATACGTCATTTTTACATTGTATGGTCATGATTTCATGTGGCGCCTGGGGAAAAATCGTCCAAAGCAGCTAGGCGCTTTATTGGTATATAATGCGGCGAAATAAAATAGAGTAAAGCAAAATCGATATACCTGAAGAACGCCAAAAGCGACAACATTGAAAATGTTTCAGGCTCGGTCTGCTCAAGGACGGTACTGGAAAGCCCAAGTGACCGTCCACGTCTCCTTGCAAACAATCTATAAGTGAGTTTACATGCAATCATGAACCCAAAGAAGTACGAAAACACATAAATCGCCTTACCATAATTATTCTAAACATTGTAATATACAAATTTTATTGTTCTACAGAACTTATATTTAGAAATATAAATTTTTGGAGCTGCGGGTACGTAAACATTTTGTTTAATGCCACTAGCATAAACATTCAGAATGGAAAAAATACTACTTTCCTAATGCCAGGAACAATTTGAAATAAATATCTGCGTGGCAAATATTTTCCTTATTATGCTTTTCTTAAATCATAACTAAAATAACAATAAACATACAAAGAAAAACGCACAAAAGTATATGTACGTAAATTGCAAGTAGTTATAATACCTTTAAAGGAAAATTAGAAACACGTCTTAGATATATTATTGAAAGAGGTATCCCACATTTGAAATTACGAACTTAGTTGTTTATATGCACACTAGTGTAAATATATGAGACCTGCACTTGAAGTGCAGAAGAGCAATTCAATTTTCAAAAGGAAACAACTTTATGAGACTGGTTAAAAATGAATTTTCTCAAAGGCATACATATAACTTAATTATTCACGACAAGTGAATTTTACATCTTGCAATTTTAAACATTGTAAATTAAACCAATATATCTTTCCCCGACGTGCGTAATCATTATTATTACAGTTCATTGATTGAATAAGAAATTATTTCAAGTTTTCTGCATATTTGATTGTAGTATGGTTGAAGCTAGGTTATACAAAATTAGAAATATTATGTAACATAAAAATCATGATTAATGTAACAGGGATCTAGGATGGAAGATCTATAATTCTATTGATAATCTATCTTTATATAGCAAAAAAAGATAGTTCTAGAAAAAAATATCATAATTCATCATATAAATGCTCATACTAAATCACTTAGAACTTTACCACCATTATGAGAGATATACATTTGATAGTACAGTTAGTAAAATTAGTAATATAGTTAGTTATAAAGTTAAATGTAGTTCATCAAGCGGAATCGGAGCCTATTTCTTGTATACGAACCAAATGCTTCAAGTATCAACATGCGTATACACACAATACAAGAAAAGTAAGAAAAATATAGCTTAGATAAGTTTTAATAATCATTTATGATTATTGAAGACATTAAAAATCAAATGAAAGTGTATAAGATGCAGATATACAGTTACATATACAGAGAAAGTGCTTACTTAAATAAAACGCTACTACACTATGATATATTCTAATTTTAATAAAAACCTGTATTAGCTACAAATTATCCAATTTCATTATAATCACTATGATCAAAGATTGCGTTACTTTCCGGCCTCAGAATTCTCCTCGCAACAATAAAACTCGACATTATTTAAAGCAGTATCATCCCCTCCTCCTTGGTCCCCTTCGACCTGTGTCTTTAGCCCACAAATTGCAGAGTTAGCGCCGCAACTTCCACTCCAGCGTCCCCAACTGCCGTAATTGCCATGTCCAGGGGAAACAGATAACTCACTAGGGTACGTAAGCCCGGCAAAGTCTCTACAGTAAAACTTAACAAAGTTGGCAGCCGTGTCATCGCCACTCTAACGGACAAAATGAAAATATTTCTTTAAATGCTCAGCTGTATTTGTGTATATTAGAATTAATACCTTAAGAATGAAACTATATATTATAATGCTTGCATCATAAACAATAGAGAAAACAATATTCTGATATGGGGGACTTACCCCACCTTTAATTGAATAGAAAGTGTCGCATTTAATCCAATAAGAGCATCCGTATGAATACAACTGTGTATATTAGACTTATAAATTGCAATACATCGATACTAGGGGACTTGGAAAGAGCTTGCATTAACCAGTGCCGCTCATGAACATGCTAAAACATTACATGATAAGAGATGCAAACAAAACGTTTTACAAAGTTTGAACATATCAATTAATTACAGAAAACAAGACATACATGAACGAACATGAGTGGGCACTGTTGGGGATATATGTCTAATTAAATATATTAATGTTTTTTATCTTTTTAATTTAAATAAGAAATATATATTCAATCGTTTTCATACGTATTGGTCCGGTTCCACTTGCAGAATGAATTCTTTAAGAAACGTAGGCGCTCCATTTCTGGAGGGACATTTAACTTCGCTGTACCAATGACCGAACGGACCTTCACGTGACGTTATTATGCCGCCAGACCGTACAGCATCCAGACCTTTACATTCTAGTTTTATAGAATTCAACGACGTGTCGTCCCCACTGCCTTGATTAGATTCTGCCTAACAATAAGAAAGAGAATTTATTCTGTTATTAATTTTAAAAAGCGATAAAGAATGAACGTAATGTACATGTGGTCTTCTATCAAATAAGGATCTGAAACCTCAACTTATACTAGTATGACAATGGTTTAAAGATTGAATAATGGATGATATTATTAACAAAATAGTTGTAACAAACTGTTCTGTTCACTGTTTTATGATCCTATCAAATATAAAGAAACATTAGAGACAATAGAAGAACTTCTTTTTCAATGATATGAGAGGGTCAAATTCGTGGCATTTGGAGTGAATAAAATGGAAATGCATAACAAATTATTTGAAAGTAAGTACATAACAAAACATGTCAACAGGCAAGTTCTTTGGTTAACAAAAACGGGAAACATTCATTCATATTTCCATATAAAACTACTTTCTAACATATTAAATTATAATTTTAAAGAGTTTGACTGTCTTGATTGTTTTGCCTGAACGATCAACATGTCAGGATTAATAAACAATTTTAATACCTTGATTGAGTATCCAATGGCATATGTTCCTTCAGCACAAAATTGTGGAGGTCCCCAACTTCCCCACGGCGCACCATTTGAGGCTTTCAGAGTTTTGATAACCCGTCTTGGTGCGTTGCTAACTAAAATCAGAGAATTACTTGGTAATATTTGAAATTGTAAAAGAAATAAACCTACAATTGCCAACATGTCCAGCTATGTCAAGTGATCTTATCATGTGAATATGTCCCATTCCTTATCTGAACTAGTTTAAGTACAGCTGTTATATTATCGTAGTTTGTCAGTACTTATCTTATATATGAAAAATAACTATTACAATGTACTTTAAAAGTCAAAATTGCTTTAGAGCCAGTTTAATATATACACTCAATATATAATCAACTAAAACTTGTCTTTTACATTTGGATTTAAAGATCCTGAAACTCATTTTCTATGGTTTTATATCATAAATATAATGCTCAAATGAAGATTTATCAATACTGTTCCAAAAATTATTATTTGTAAAGATTTTTTTTAAGATATTACCGAGTTTACATTTCATGTTAATAAAGGGAGGTCATTAGAAATTTATTTTCTATAAAGTCTAAGTCAAATATTTCCAATCAGAAATGCATATATTTTAATGATTACATATAATGTGGGCACATATTTGCAGTACATATTTTACATGTTTTTCGATGTTTGAAAGAATAATTATATACATATATAAAATTTCACTTAACCGCGGTAACAACCTTAATTACAACATACAGGATCGTTAACTGTTGTCATTATACACAGAGAGACTTTACAAACAAGCAAAGTCTTATCATATTAATAAAAAAAAACACAGATTTTATTTGTATTTGAATATGAGCCTTGGTATCAATAAACATTCATTTTTGTTCGATAATTCCGAGAAAAACAGTATGAGTTAGAAAGAAAACTGTCATAGAAAAGAGAATCACTACATATTGAAACAGTATCATACACATTCATACATTATACACTTGTGCTCAGAGGAGAGAAACAACATTGAAAGATATATTTGGATGGTGTTTAAATACCTTCAAGAGTAATTTTCGAATCGGCAAGAAACCCAATAGAATTGGCAAGTAACCTTGTAAAACATACACTCGTGTGTAAATGCAATTGTTCAGGTAAGGTAATAAAGTAGTAAGTAAGCTTTATTTAAGAAGTCAGTTATCCAAGATGTGTTACTAAATATGTAGAACTCTACGAACTATTTATTATACACATTTGCACAACTAAAGCTATTGTGTCAGACTTCACGAGAACTACTAAATTAGGATAAACTAACATTAAGCAAATATTCTTTGCATGAGAACATAAATTCTGCCTTTTGTCATGAATATTTTCCCTTTGTCAATATATCTAGATAAAATGTGTTTGTATATTGAATTATCTGAAAAAACGACTGGATTTACTTCACTTTACTTCACTTTACTGGAGTTAATTAATAGCAATCATAAGAATATTGTGTATCTTGAGCAATTAATCGTAAATATCTTAATACGTTTACTTGATGAATTCACTTAACTAAATAATAAAGAGGAAACAGTGCATACTATTTTTAAAATATGTATATTTACTTCATTGTTTACTTCAAGTGATATTACGCATATTTTTTTCTCTGTCAAGTGTGAGTTGAATTAGTAATATATTTTAAATGATTGGCTGTTGCAATGGTCATTGACCAATAATTAACAATGAAAAATGTGAACATGAAAACAAAACTATAAATTTAAAGACTGCTCCAATCTTTTTTTAAGAATTAAGCGTTACAGATACATTCTGACTGATATTTATAGACAATTCCATTGGTCACGTGGATTATTTTTACTTTTACTTATTTACTTATCTTCACTCATTGGATGGGCATAATGTCACATTCAAAGTTATTTCATATATTATCAGTCTGTTAAATAATCCTATGATCTAAAAGGTTGGCGTTAGGTCTTTCTGTATACAAACCTTTTAATCCGTTTACATATCTAGTTGATGTCTAGACGATTAATTTGTAGACAAAAATAGATTTAAATGTCGCTGTCCACTGACATTTAATCGAAATTTATTCAATGACGGTTTATATTTGACGGTATCAAACTTGTGTTACTGAATAAAAATGATATTAACCAGACACTCTGTTCAGTTCAGAGGAAATAAAAATAACGCAATCAATGCATTACATTGCAAAGATAAAATCCAGACAGCATAAATTTTTTTGGGATAAGAATTTTATTTTGTTCAAATATATTTGAATCGGAACTAAATCAAGGAATTAATAAAGATAGACATTTTTAATTTTAAACAAGCTACAGAAAACGGCCTTCTGTCGATTGTTTTACAAAGACTAGGACGTTACCTATGTAAGTCGAGGAAGGGCAGAATAATTCTGTCTAAAGACGTTATATGTCCGACAATGCCGTCTATGGAATCCGGTACGGAGATAGACATGCGTCATATACACTACCGAAAAATGTTCTTCAATGATTCATCTAGAAAAGCATACTTTTATGTCGTATAAAAATAATATTTCTTTAAATAACATTCTAAAATGTTACCTCTAAGCCTTCATTTTCCTATAACTTTTTTGTCGCGATAAAATAGAGTTACTATGATTTCGAGTTTTGTAAGGGTTAAAGAAAAACAAAACAACCAGTAAAGGTTCAGAATGCAAATTAATCAAAAAGTAATTCTTCATTAATTTTTTATTTGGTTTGTTTGTACCTCGCACCAACACAGTATAGGTCATACTGCGAAGTTCCAGCTTTACTGGTGGAGGAGGACCTCATGGTGCCTTTCCGTTCATTATTTCAGGCACAAACCACCTTGAAGACGTTCCGATAGGTAGATGAATGGCTTCCATACGTAGAAAAATCCGAAGTCCCACAACAGTGAGGGACAAGTAGTTCGAAGTCAACGACCTTAACAACTTGGCCACGGATTTCCCTAGCAATCTTCAATTATTCAACGATATCAAACTTTCAAGGGTTATTCAATACATTATCATTAAGACAAGGTCAATGAACTATATGTCATTTCACATCATCGTTTAGTGTGTATAAACTTCTCACTTATTTAAAAAAAATAGACAAATTCATTTCAATTTATCCTTTCGGATGGCATGGAAATACATTAAATGGAGGCAATGGCACGAACAGAATTGCGTAGGAGCAACATAATTTGTTATCTAATGATGTTAACAAAGTCCGTAAATAAGTTGCGACAATGTTATTTGTGTAAAAAAAATTCAATTACCACGACGTGTAAATAAAAGTACAAATGGTGAAATTTATGCTTACATTTTCTAAAATTAAAATTAAAGGAAAAGAATAATATGCAAAACAAATATAATTTGTATATTGATATTTTCGTTAGAATAAATGGTACTCGTTTCACTTATCAAAGACGGCAAGTATTACTTAACGTTAGAAGGAACTGATCAAAATACATTGTACCGCTTCTTTACATCTAATAAAATAATTTAATTTGTCATTTCGCAAACATATGCATCCGTATATTTCAAATTTATACACTTACACGTTCCTGAATTTCACTTACAAACCGACGATAACAATGATATTTTGAATGTTACTGACGTGTATTTAATTTTTATGTCCAAACTTAAGTGGTGGGGTGATTATATAGATTTGCTCTTATCTGTCAACCCCTGTGTCACTCTGGGACACAGTCTTTCTGTCACGATACAGGTCTGTAAATCGACAAAACAGTGGAATGGAACTCCGGGTGTTTCAAACTTAAAGCAACACCAAGGGTCAAAGCCACCTCACATGCTGGGGCTAAGAGATACCTAGACTCCAGTAGTTTCGCCTTTTACGATCGTGCAGGGATAAACGGTGGCTGCAATTCTGATGCCTTAACCCTTAAGGGCAATCTCTCAACCACAAGGGTTTCTGAGTCTTTTTTTGAACAAATGATATCTCCGCACATAATACATCACATTTTCAATTAGACAAAGAATACAGGAATAGTGCTTGACTTCTGATTTCAAAACTTAAAGTAAAATTTGAATATACATATAATTATATTACATATAATGTCAAGAAAACATATTTGAAATTCGCTGTTTGTGACTACACATTTGCGTGTTTCAACATTTTCTATTATATATGAGTTAGATTTTGTGGTTTATTGTTTCATTACATGCAAACATCTAAAGTTGACATTTTCGTAAATGAGAAAAGTTCTTTATTTTAACGTGCATAACACAAGGGAAAATGCCAAGGCGACAACTAATTTCTTTTGTTTTATTTTTACAATGTTATAAATAGCTAAACGAAAATAAATTCGGAATTGGATAATTAAATTAAAATGATCTTTTTATAGTTAACGTGTAGTATTTTATAATTGTTACAATCTTCCTGGTCATATTATGAAGGACAAATATGAATATGCAAATAACCAAAATAGTATTGCCAATTTCCTTGTTATCTACAGTATAAATAGAATGTTAAATAAAACATCACAAAAGTTCAAAGTTTATTGGCATCCAGCAAAGACATTCGTCTTTGGTCATAACATTTCTTTATTGTAAAATGCAGAGGTGTTTCATTGACACTGTATATGTGCTGTCAGCTGTTAAAGTGATGATAAAAGTGGCCAAATTGCAAAATGTAAGCAGCGTTTTTAACTCTTTCTATTAAAAAAAACTTTCAAAAGCGGTATTTAAGATTCATCTACATTTGATTAAAATGCTTTATTCTGTTCACGATGGTAAAGACATTTAGCAAAATATTCTTTGGGGAGATTATTACCTGAATTTCACACGATATCTGACTTGTATTTGACTGAATTGTCTTATGAAAAGTATGTCAAAAGAGATTTATATATATTCAGGATAGAAGTTACATTTATTGCTTTCGAAAAAGATAACAAAATATCTAATAAATGTTTTAAAAAAGTACTTACCGATATATAAGAATACATAATTGCGAATTGCACAAAAGAACACAAGCTCACATATAATTATACACGTCACACTTTTGTTACAGCTTCAACACAAATTTAAAAATTTGATTTCAGTGTTCCAAATTTTTACTTAATTTAAAGCAGCACACCTCAAGATTCATGCTAATTTTCATGAATATTTTCAAAATGTATTAAAAAGTAAAATATTGTGAAGTGAAGAAAGGAAATAATTTTCATCTGGAGGCATGCAGCTTTAATATGTAATTATAAAACCTCGTAATCGGGTAAAACAAATTAAGGTTTCA